CGGGCAAACCGACCATTTTGCGCGTAGTAGTAGTAGTAGTAGTAGTAGTAGTAGTAGTAGCAGCAGCAGGAGTAGTAGTAGTAGTAGTAGTTGTTGTTGTTGTTGTTGTTGTAGTCGTCGTCGTCATGGCCGTCGTCGTCGTCGAAGTCGTGGTCGCAGTCGCAGCCGTAATCGTAGCCGTACAAGTACAAGTAGCTGTTGTTGTGGCAGTAGCAGTTGCTTTGTTGTCATGTTTGCTAGTGTTCGTACTTTGGAGTGCATTCATTCTCGCGAAAAATCATTTCAAGGAACGTCCATGTCGAGGCGGATCCCAAGGACGACGAAGACACAGGACCCAGCAAAGGCCAGCCCGGCAAAGAGGCTGGCGAAAAGCGAGTTGACAGCTTGCGCTTTTCCATCTTCACAGGAGTTGTTGCAGGCCTTGCCAGCTGAACATGTGGGAAGGCAAGCCGAGCACTAAAACCCTGTGCCAGCACGCCGGGCGCTTGCCTTGCAAGCGTCGGAGAGCTTGCAGAAGAGCTTGCAACACTTCTCGAGGCAGTCACAATCCCCGAAGCCACCGAAGCCAGTACCTTGCTGCCGATGAGTCCGAGGCCGCTCGATGCCAAGACCGCGGTCAGCGCAGAACTGCCTGGCAAAGGAACGGCAGCGCTGGTCTCTCACCTTTGCAAAGTAGCTGTACTTGTTCAGCACATACTTGTAGTTCAACAATGCGAAATACTTCAGCATGGTCTGCAGGACCATGCTGGGCAGGGTTATGCACAGCAATGAGTAGCAGTCGATCCACAGCCAGTCCCATTGGTCATTCCAGTGCGTGTGCTTCGTATAGTCAACAAACTTCACCTGAGCACTCCAAAGCATACTGTAACCCTCCTGCATAGCTTTGCCGGAGCCTTTGGACTCTTGGCCCCTGGCCTTCAATCCGGCCATGAAGTAAGCGAAGCTAAGAAGCAGCACCAGCAAGCCCATCCTCTCAACAGGGCTGAAGGGATGTCCGTGCTCGCAGCAGAACACGCCAAACACGGGATGGTTGTTCCGAAGATGGTAGACAAAGTTCGGCCAGGGACCTTGGCCACGCATGGCCTCCATCTTCCCGGCTGCTTCTCGGTTACACTGCCTGGGCTTTTGCTTAGGATTAGGTTAGGTAATCGTGTGTCCTTGCAATGATAACTCAAACAAACTCCCTAAACCCTAAACCCTAATCCCCCAACCCTAAACCCTAAACCCCTAAACTGCTTAACCAGAACCCAGCTACTCCGGAACAGCGTCCGGCTTGTCCGCCCCGACAACGAAGAGACTCCAGTCCTTCCGGTCGCCTCCGCAAGCCTCGTAGACATTTCCCAGCAGGTCCAGAGAGCCAACTAACCTGGAACTGCTGGGTTGATTGATGCAATTTAAGTTTTTAAGTTACCGTAATAAGGAAACCATAATATTCACTATAGATCCCGGTTATGGTAACTTAA